TTTAAAATTTTTTTATTTTTAAATTTTTTCTTGCAAAGTTTATTTTTCTTCCTCTAAAATTTTCATACTTTAAATATTTATTATTATTTGTCTCTCTTCAAATTTTTCTGTATCAATTTTTTTATTTTTAAATTTCTCCCTGCAAACTTTATTTTTCTTCCTCTAAAATTTTCATACTTTAAATATTTATTATTATTTCTCTCTCTTCAATTTTTTCTGTATTTTTGTTTTTTTTTTCTGGCAGACCAGTTTCATTTCTCTCTCTAATAATTTACTATTTTTCGTAACTTTTTTCTCTCTAAAATTTCATCTTTTATAACTCTCTTCATATTTTATTTTCTCGTTCAATTTTCTTTCACTGTAACTTTTATTTATCTTTGTATTTATTTATTTTCTCTAAAAATTATATTTTGAATCGTGTTATTATCTCTAGATTTATTTCCACTATAATTTTTCTGTTTCTTTATAATTTCTTTTTTTTTTCTCTTTAACATATATTTTCCTCTCGATTTTATTTTTTTCTCTACAATTTTTCTCTTTTTGTCTTTAACTTTTCTTTCACGGTTTTTTTTAAATCTTTTTATTCATCTCTCTAAAATTTATGTTCAAAAAATTTATTTACATCTCTCTATACTTGTATTTTCATGGGGGAGACAAAAATTTCCCAAAAATAGGAAATGCATGTCCCGACCCCGTCCCCATCCCCAATTCCATTTTTAAATAATTAATATATATTTATTACACTTTTTTTATACTTAAATTCTAAAAATACTTAAAAACAATTATAAAACCGATAATTTTTATTGAGAACATCTCTCAGACCCAAGGAGTCCGAGATGGAGATGGAGACTAAAAATTTTTATAAGTACGAGAATGGGGGAGAGCATCCTCACTCGCACCCACACCATTGTCATCTCTACCCCACATAAAATTTTCTCTCTATAATATATGTATTTTCAATTTTCTAACTTTTTAAAAACAAAAAACAAAAAATGGTTATCAAAACATGTTTTGGTTTCTATTTTTAAACATATATGATTTTTGTTTTTTAAAAACACAAAACCAAAAACCAAAAATTAAAAACAAGAAAAACCAAAAACCAAAAACTAAAATGGTTATGAAACGGACCTTGCATTACAAAAATTCCTCATCAAAATAGTTGGATTTTGGGATTTCAAACCATTTTAAAGTAAATTACTTATTTAAATTACTTTAACTTATCATATTCTAATTTTTAACTAATCAATTATTTTATTTTTTTTTAATTTTCAGCAAACATCCCAACAAATAAATTTAATTATACCAATTTTAAATTATTCTCCGATGAAACAAGATAAAGAATTTAAAATTATTTGAAATTGAAAATCATTTCTGGAGCGTTATTGATGTCAAACACATGGTTACTTATTTGATTTCGAGAGAAAAGTTGATAAACTATCGTTATTTTAGAATAATTTTGAGGTTAACTCTATCATTTTCTCCCTATATATTTGTGAGGTTATATTATAAAAGAATCCACTAAAATCTATACTACCGGTCATATTCAATTAGATCGTCACTTAACTTATTCTTTTACTCCACATAAATCTCGGTAGTATTAATTTTTAATTTTTGCTATACAATTCAAAGAAAATTTAAAAATTTACCCATTAACTAAAATGATTGCTACAATCCCACTTCAAATTTTCAATTCGATCCGTCTCTTCCTTAAATATTGCAAAATAGTTAAGAATTGGGACCTCACAATCACTAACCAATGCTTTTCTCTAATGTCTTTCTTCGTTCCTAACCACATTTAATTATCAAATTGTTACCATTAAATCTTCGAATATAAAATTATTACAATTGAACTAATTTATTGCTGACTTTAAATTTTAAAAGTACAATATTAACCATTAAAAAATCATAGTTTTTAGATGGATGAAATCGGGGTTTGGAAAATGTTCCCAAGCCAATTGGTTTGGTTTTTAGCTAAGGGAGCCGAAGCTGAAATTTGAATAGTAAAATCAGTTTAAAATTGGAATAAAAGAAAGACACTTTACAATTTACATTGATTATTCACCGAAAGAGAGGAGAAGACTTTAGTGACCAAAAAAGATATGCCTTTTTAGGTTTTTTCACCCATCTTTCTCTCCCGCTATGGGGTGGGGTTTGGATTCCAGGTTTATACGACGTGTTTCTCGTCCTGCTCTGATTATTTTATATATCTTGTGTTCTTTTAATACAATATATGAAGTTGAAGATTCGAATTGACAACATTTTGATTGTTTATAAAGGCATTGATCAGTTAAATTATGTGCAGGTTGAGCTCCCGATCATTGATAAGGTCTGCTTGAGATTTATTTTCTTAAACTAGTTGTTATGTTTTATCTTGTTTATGAGGTATGTGTTTTAGTTGACTTTTTTGTTTGTGTTCCGCAGTTTTATTGGCAAGTTTCTTTGTTTCTTATCTCAAACCGTGAGATCTTCTTTGCAATAACATTATTAATCTTTGAAGGGAAAAAAAACTTGGATTCCGACGTCAATTTGTAGATGTCCACTCAAAAGATCCACTTTTACAACTTGTCCTCTTATTATTTATTTTTAACAAAATAAAGAGATTTTTAATAAAAAAAAAGTATAAAAACTTTGCATGAAACCGGTCTTAAAAACCTTAGAGATGTCAACCACAATTAGTTATTATAAAACTTGTAGAACAATATCTTAGTTTTGACCGCGGTTACTCCAAAATTCCTTACCTCTTACTCTAAATCTTATATGTTTATACAAACTTTAAAATGAATTATGAATGTATAAATCAATTTGTTAAATAACGTGAAAAAAAATGGTAGAACTGGAAAGTATCTCATTCTTGAATATGTTGCTTTTAGAGAATCTTATCTTCCTCCAATGTTTTGGCACCTCATTCCACTTGTGGGGCCACAGCCATAAAAGTGAACCAACAGACCCTAATTTTACTATTGTTTTTTTTTCCCTAAGATAAAAAGTATGGAGCTATATACTATAGAGATGTTAAAAAAATTGGTTGAACTAATGGAATTTAGTAAGTTTGGTTGATTTGAATTATATATCGTCTATAGATTTAGATTTATTTATCGATTTCACTTAGTAATTTTTGGATGGTTGGTTTGGTGTGTATATATATACATATACACACACTCTATATGGATGTCAAAAAAATCAATCGAACTAATAGAATTTAATAAACTTTTAACTATTGACCATCTATAAATTTGGACAGATGTTATCAATTTCAATGATCAATTTTGGTGGTGGTAGTATCTTTGATTTTGCATATTAAAATTTTGCTGATGATTTAGATCTAAAAAAAAAAAATTCGGTACAAGTTGTGTTGTTAGTTGGAAGATTTCCGTGTTAATTATTATCGAGGCAACTTGAACATAATTTATTGGTTGAAGTATCTATTTCTGTCGAGAGTTGTAGGTTCACAATTTCACTCTTGTATGAATCCGAGAATAACTCAGTGAAAAAGACATTAATAGAGATAGATGTGTTACATTTTACTGTATGATACCATAAATAGTAAAGAAGACAACTTGACCTAGAAGCTTAGTTACTAATTTGAGCTCCGAACCAAATTTAATAGTTATGATTTAACCGCAACAAGCAAAATGTGTTACATTTTACTCCATTATATATATATATATATAGATGTGAGATATCACTTAATTACTTAATTTGGATTGTATTTCAAAGGTGTGCAATACAAATAATCCAACTAATATGGCAACCATAAATCCAAACATTGATTGACATCTTTCTTGGGTAACACATTTGGAAAAGACAATTGAATTTACTTTCAAGTCAAACCATAATCACCAAGATGGAAAGTGGCTGTTAACTAGATCCATCACAATATTAAAAAAGCAACACAATTTGTTGGTTTAATAATAATCCACCCTCAATTAAGGAGCAAGCAAATTTCAAAGCTTAGTTCGTTTTAACTAATTAATTTAGTTCTAAGCATTTTTTTAGCTAATTATGGTAAATTATCAGACCTATGTGAATTTCATTTAAGTTATAGATTCTCCGTTGTTTTATAATAGTAATTAACCCTACTAAGCCTTCACTGGTCAAAGTTACATCTCAACAAAAGGCACGATGTATATAATCAATTTGAATTAATCTTAAGACGTGGAAACTTCTTATTGTAATATGTTGTTCAAAAGAATTACTCAACTTCCATCAAACATCATGCTTTATTTTTTCCTTTAGAATACTAAAAGTTCAAACTAGCTCCATATAGCTTTGCAAATACTAGTATTTTCTTAAATCTCTTACTCATATCTCTCATCAAAAGTACTATTTAATAGTATCTATCAATAGCAAAACAATTAGCTAATTTGCTAACTCACATCTCATTGAAAAAAATGCTATTCCATGGTATCTATCGACAGCAAATCCATTAGCTATTATTCTTGAGATACCTAGCTCATATCTTTAATTAAAATGATATTATAGATAGCTTCAAAAGTAGCCATCAATTTTCTAGCATTCTTGAGATCTCTAGTTTATCTCATGGATTAAGTCATATATCTTGGATAAAAAAGATTTAAATCCCCGCCTCCACATGTGGTTAAACTAAAAAAATAAAAATCAAAAACTCATATCACTCTCATAAAAAAACTACCTCCAAGTCCACGCAAACATGTCTCTCTCTAATCATGTGGAGGGCTGCTCCTTATGATTTTTTTTTTATACCTGTGAGTGTCTGAGTCAGCTTACGCGCACCTCGACTAATCTCATGAGACAACCGTCTGACCCTGAAATATTTTGCACCGGAAAATATATAGGAATTACTAATTCCTAAGGTAGGTGGCCATTATGGACTCCTCGGAATCTTCACAAGCCAAAATCTTCTATTTCAACGTTCACCAGCATTTTATTCTTTTATAAAATTAAAACCCTAATCTGGATGATAATTAACTCCCAAGCACTGATCCTAGAAAGGTAAAAGCATTATTATAACAAGAGAGCTGCATATCAAAAGCTAACAACATAAGATGGGCCTCAATTGCTCCGACGCAAAAAAAAAGTAGATGCCAGTGGAAGAAATTCACAGTACAAATATATACACATACAACAATAAGAATTCGCTGACATGTAATAATAGTATGCATATAAGTAAGTGGTTGAACTCACCAAGAATCATGTTGGGAACTACAGATACCAGATGGGTATCTTCAATGCCATCTTCTCGTGGGAGTTCAAATCCTCCTCTTTCCACTGATTTCCCGATAACTCTTTCATCTGTACGACACTATCACTATAAAATTAGAACGAAAAGATCTTACTTCTGTCTTAGCTACCCGGCCAATTTTACAAAGTACCTACAAGATGAACGTTCATGATCAAAATTTAGGGGATTATTGTATTGAGAACAACACGAGCCAGGGAAATTTAGACACTCACAAATTTCCTTGTTTCATTTCAAATACAACGGTGAAGCCGCTGCAACTCCATAGCCGCAAGCACTGCATCATTAGTTAAACTTGGCGTGCCTGAACTCTTGATCTCAGAAATAATAGCCTCAATCCGTGAAATTTCAGATAGGGATAGCGATAATATCATTGCATGGGCCAAGTACTGTCTACAAGCATAACCGAGAGCATGCAGCATTCTTTGCACAAGCAAGAGGCAGCCACCTCTTCTCCTCCAGGACTCCAGGATTACACTAATCTTGGGAAGGTGTGTAAGAAGACCAGTGGTAGCTTCCCTTGGAGCCGCCATAACCAAAAACACTACACATTCAGAAGCTATGTCCGCGATATTTGCTTCTGAGGACCCACTCAACTCCAACAAGACGCCAACATTGTTACCAAAGTCAGATATATCTCTTATGCATTCCTGTTGGTTAACTAGAACATTTGGCTCGGGAGTACCATCTCCCAGAAGAACCGGTTCTTTTGAGTAGATGAAGCCCTTTCTACAACTAACAGAACGGAGAAGGAGAGCTCTACATAGGCCAAGAGTTGGTTTGAGAAAATCCTCCATATCCTTTGCATATACAAACTCTAACAGAATTCCTATTCTTCTAACAACTTTGAGTTGAGAAAGTATTCTTGACTCCATTTCAGGAGCAGATGCCAGCGCCAAACACAGCTTAACACTACTTACATTTGCATTTGAAAGGTCGCCAAGCAAAAACTCGAAGCACTGGGAGATTGTCTTTAGATGTAAAATGTCTGAAATTTTGATGTAGTTACACTCAATGAGCATCACAAGAAGTTTCTGGGCATACATGGGTATGGGATCATCATCTTCTATCAAGGCAGGATAGAGAGGGAGGAAGTGCAAATTTGCTATATGCTTTAGATCCTGCGACCTTTGCCCCTCTATGGATGGTTCATTCAGGAAAGTGAACATCACATCAAAGAGAATTTTTAGGCATAAGAATCTTGCATCCCCATCCTTATTACCTCTGTAAAGAACAGCCAAACTGGGGAGAATTTTATGGACAAAAATCTCTGGGTTTTCAAGAATGACCGAGAATTCCTCTGTGATAGATTCAATAACTCGAAGCAACGTTATCTGGAAGTCGTCCCTGCCCTGTAAATGAGTTGAAAAAGAAAAAAAGACATCAGGAAGCAATGTAACCACATATCATCTTTACTCACCCACTTTCTTAACATTCATAGGATGTTTACTCTACAGAGAGAGAACATTTCTAAAGACAGGTGCAACCGTGATGTTCTTGTTCAAAACTAAAAAGCATGTATGCATGCCAACTTTCGGTTCATTTAATGTGCAATCTAAAAGTTTTTCTGATTTCAACTGAAGATAAACACAAATTCAAGAAGGAAATATGCTAATTATAATCTCAAATGGTGGATGTGTGTGTGTGTGAATTTTATCATCTATGCCTCGCATGCCAAACTTTCAGTTCATTTAATATGCAATCTAAAAGTTCTTTTCTATTTCAACTGAAGATGAACACAAATTGAAGAGGGAAATATACTAACTATAATCTCAAATGGTGGATGTGCGTGTGCGTGTGTATTTGAGCTGTCACAATACCATCACCTGAAATGGGGTCTCTATATGCCTGATTAGATCAGACAACTGCTGCAGTACCTGAGGACTAACAATCTTGCGCTTAAAAGTTAAACTTCCAAGAAGATGAAGGACAACAGGAAACAAGTGAATGTTGGTCTTTGAAGCGGCACGACTAGTAAGGGGGGAGATATGCCCATGACGTCTTCCTCCCATCATTTGTTGAATATCTCCTAAAATCATATCCAATAAACTTGGCACAATAGATGCCACGATATGCACAGATCCAGTTAAACACTGCTGGACATAGACGTCCTTCTCTTTCGCCAGCCTGTCCACTGATGAAAGTAACCTGGAATTGCAGAAGAAATGAGGCAACCACCGTCTTACATTCTTACAGAGGAAAGCAACGAAAACAATTGCCTTTCCCTTCATAATTTCACTTCCTTGCTCAATAAGGGATGCCAGACTAGAGACGAGATTCTTCTCCTCCATTAAAGGTAGAAGGTACCTTCCAATGCTAGTTAAGGTATGGCCTCCAAACATGATCATGTTTAGAAGATTTAAGGTAATTTGCTGCTCGCGTGGATTTCCCTTAACAAGGGCACACGCCATGTCCTTGGAAGATAATTTGTCTGTGACCGACTGAATGCTAGAGGGATTGAAACGTACCAGGCGAACCAAACATGATCCTGCTGTGAGCCTTACATTCTCCGATTTCCCAGAAGCTCTATATATGTAGCATAGGTTGCTGATCACATCTTGGCTGGTAAAGCGAGATGCCCAGCTTGCTCCTTGACTACTAATGTTTTCAATAGTCCTCAATGCATAGAGTTGAGTCATATCATCCTCTCCTTTTCGAAGGATTGATGAGACTAATGAAATTAGTGAATTTGAAACCTGTTCCATAGAAATAACTTCATGAGTAAAGTTGAAAAAATTCAAGAACAATAGTGCACCATCAGAAAACAACAGCTACTCGGTAAATGATTTTTTGAATTCAATCAACTGCATAGAATGTCAGTAAAATTTTTATCAACAAACATAACATGAGTTCATAGTATTTATTGAATGTAATAAGCATAATACAAAATTTAGTCATGACCACAGATGTCAACTTACCTGCCATCCAGATGGGGATGATCTAGCGTCCTTCAAAGGAGATTCAGGAGGATTGACGTTGCTGTTATGCTCTTCCTGAGTGGAGATATAAAACAGCAACTCACCCAAAGCAGCCATAGAAAACCTCCTGACTTTTTCTTGCTTGTCTCTGAGTCCATCGGTAAGTGAAACTAAAAGACCAGAATTTGCCAAGTCATTTTCTATAAAAGTAGAGTGGCGGATCAGCAAGCCAATTAGTGACGTGAGTTGAACACGCAATTGCAAAACCTTGGACTGCTTGAGCATTTTTACAAGCATGAGCATTACCGGCCCATTGGTCAAAATATTAGCTGCATCAGCATTATTACTAAGCATCTCAAGGTATCTTATCATGTTTTGCTTCTCACCAATACTTGTATTTCCACTAAGAGTAGCAATAATCCTACTGCACAATGCATCCTGCTGCTCTTTAGGCATCTTCACAAAATCAGATGCTTTCAATCCGTCGAAAGGAAGGGTAGTATTAACATCTGATATTTTATCAGCTTTTCTGCTCGGCATTACTGGTTTAACAGAAAGATCAGATGGATGCCAAAAAAACTCTGCAAGGTTATTGGATGACTTCAAAGAATCAGGCTCGAGAGCATTCCCTGATCCTTCTTTAGTTCTTTGATTCTTAAGTTGAGGACTAGCAATAGGTGACATAGCGACCGCACCTGTATGTACCAATGGTGATTCCTGATCATGCTTGTTTGATAAATCTGAAGCATTGATATTAACTGGCGATGAATACTTTGGAAGGTCTCCTCCCATATTTTGTGCATCTTCCATCTTCCCATGGGGATTTTGATTTGATGACCTATCTTCCTGATTACAATTTAAATTATCAGACTCGTCAGGTTCTTCATGCGACTCATCTTCAGCATTCTCATTAAAATCAAGCTCCATATCAGTGTTCTTAATTTCAACCTCGGAATCATTTTCGGAGCTGCTAGGAATGGGTCTCCTGTAATTTTCTTTATCATTCTCTCTTTGCAAGTTTAATTTTGCTATCCTTGAGAGTCTCAAAAGATTTACTCCTTTGGAAGCAGAGGAAATTTCTTTCAACTTCTTCTCCTCAACGACTCTGCTAGAAACCTTTGATTGAGTTTTTTGACTGCCTGGAGTACCTTTAACAAGTGTTTCATTTTTACTTGAACCAAAAGCAGAATTTTCATTTTGTCTCAAAGTGCCCTTCACATCTTTTTCTCGATACTTAGGAGGGGTCCTATTCTGAACAAGTTTTTCGCCATTTCTCTCCGACAAACAAGGTTTATAATACTGATCTATCATATTTGCAAAAGCTGGTTGTGGAGGTAAAAATACTGGAGTGATTTTTGTTCGCCAGAACGCATGTCCACAAAGCTCGGGCCATTGTATTCTTTCAGCTGGATCTTTTACTAGCAATGAATTAATCAGATTAACAAAAGGGCGACTAGGACTACCAGGGAGGATAGGGGTAGGATCTGAGAGGATAGATTTTACTAGTTGAGTGAATTCGCGTCCCATGAAAGGAGGCCTCCCCACAAAGCATTCATATAGGACACAACCAAGCGCCCACAAATCAGACGCATAGGAATGGACACCGTCGTCCTTGAACAATTCAGGAGCCATATAACAGGGTGTGCCTCGTTTTGTTTGTGGCACCTAAATAAGTGCATCGAAGAAAACACAAAGCTACTTCTTAGGAATGAAAAATGTGACAAGATTTTAGTCCAAATCTAAAAGTTCTATCAAGTGTGAGCAGACAGCGAAAACAAAAACTAAAAAGAAAAACAAAATTGACCTACCGAAGAATTTGTTTTTGATATCTCATTCAACTTTCTAGCTAGTTCGAAATCACATAACTGCATAACCGGACAAGAAGTTAGAAGATAAATAAAATAGTACAAAAATAATAAAAAGCTGCCCAATAAAAGAATGATATTATGATGCAAAAAATACCTTTGTATGTCCATTTTCATCCAGTAGAATATTTGATGGCTTCAAATCACAGTATATGATTCCTTTCGAGTGTAAGTACCTAAAATTGTTTTGATTATATATTAAAATGCCACCAAAGAGTTCAAAAAATATACTGATATGGATAAATAAACATATAAACCCAGGTTATCTTACTGCAATGCTCTGACGAGATCACCAGCAATATCATGAATTGAATCTTCAGGTAGTTTGCCATCCTGCCACTCATCCAAAAACAAATTAGTATCTGTGTTCATAAAATTCCAAAGATTGGACGTAGGCACTTTAAATCCTCTGCCCTTTTCACTATGACAAAAGAGTGAGGAGAGGAGAATCTTCAAATTTTAAACCTACACACAACATAACACACAAAGATCATGCAGGCCAAGTGGCCATAATTAGTAGAAACTGTTTGAAATGCGCACTTACCTTATCTATGGCCTACCATATACTATAAAACTTGACAAATGACTTATGAGATCATGACCCATGAGAGAAATTATAACTTAAACAATAAAAGGTGAACAAAATCACAAGGTCTATTCTAGCTGGGGTGTTTGAAAGCCATTTAAAATAATCGGATTTGTAATTCCACAGTGTCAACGCTTGATCTATATTTTCATTAAACGGGATTCATAGCAGGTTAATTTCATAGTAGAAACAGTTGTCCCGTATACTTATTTATATAGGATTTATTTTAACCTAACAGGTTCCTTATGGTTGGTTGACAAAACTATAACTCCGTGTATGGAATCAACTGTTTGATACCTGGCGCAGGATGCTCATGAGATCCCCTCCAACACAGTACTCTAATACCAGCCATAAGTGAGCAGAAGTTTCGTACCTTAAGAATGAAAGAAGATGGGGCGAAGTGAATGTCTAATTCGAAATAGGGAGATCATTGAAAAATAAATAAAATGGCCAAAGCTGACTGCTTTGAAGACCTTTTAAAAACATGAACTAGTGTATCCGAATGTTACCAGGAGTAAAACTTAAGTACGTTGAGGTGATCAAGTGAGTGAAGTATTCGTACCTGCATTGATCAGAAGGTAACGCATATTATGTTAGAATTCAGAAACAAACTGTGTACTAGAATTTTCGAACGTGTCGGATCCTGGCGATATCGAGGTTCCGGAATGTGCTGTTTAGTTTAGATAGAAGAAAGATACGGTTGCTCTTGTGACACTAATCAGTAGTATTTAAGATGAGCAACGCATCAATTATATACATGTAAATCAGCAGTCGCTAAACATACTCTAGCATTCAAATTCCATCCTAAAGGTACTCGAATCCGTTAGAACCCGCTACCCACAATGACAGTGGAAAGAAAAGTTGTCGGCTTACTTCTTGGAGAATCTTGTTCTTCTGCGACTTATCCACGCTTTTAATCGCGGAGTACTCGATGCTCTTCTTCTTCCTGCCTTTATACACAGTCTACGAACATCCCGAACAAAAAAGAGAAACAATCAGAACAAAAATCCAGCAATTTCAGAGAATGCCGCTGACAAATTAAAGCCGACAAAACGGCGGAAACTTCACACAAGCTTAGAAATGGTTACCGAGTACTTTCCACGGCCAATGGCTTCGTAGATGTGGTACTGGTTCATTGTCAGCTCCGGCAGTGTTGCTAGGGTTTCGGATTACGAAATCGAGTGGCCTCATATACTCATCGGCCAAGAGAGAGAAGAGGAGAAAGAATGGAGCCTGGTTTCTTGACGATCTCCGGCAGAGACTCAGGAGAGAAATGGAGTCTGCTTTTGCAGTCGCTCGAAAAATCGCCGGCACAACGCTGCGAGGAAATGGGCGGGAACAGTCGATATTGAAAATGTAAAAGAAGACGAACAAAAATAAAATTTAATTGGATTTAAAATAAAAATGGAACGTTAATACTGAGGTGAGCGGGTGACGTGGCACTTCAAATTTTTCAAACGGTCCTCTTGCGTGGCTCTCGACCGTTGCTGCTGCTATTTTGCTTCGTGTAAATAAACAATTTCTCAAAAAACACAAATTTATCTAAATGATCAAGTTAAATGACTTTTTTTTAACCTTTGTTTCTTTAATTTTTGTAATCAGCCCATTTTATTTTATTTATAACTGATCATTGGACCACGTGGGTTCTCTGTAATAATTATTACCATCCATACCTTTAGCCAATTTAACTCTTAATACACGATATTCAAATCAGGTGTTTGGTTCCGTATTTTCAAATCGAATAGTAGGGTTGGTAAAGACAAACCCATATTTATTTCGCAATCTTATAAACTCAGGTTTGCTACAGTTATACACCATATTATTGCTACAGTAAATATTATTTCACTCCACTCTGCTACAATATTTTATTATGAGTATTTTATCATTACTCTTTTGAATTACTATATTGCATATTTTATCTTTCATCTCTCTTCTAAAATACATTAATTTTTTAATTAAATATATTAGATTATTAAAAAAATTAATTAATTATAATTTGAATAATAATAAGTAAATGAATTTAATTAAAGTTACAAGTAACAAATTATTAATTCATATATTGACGGTAACTTAGTCCAATTTTCTTAAAATTGTATATCAACTTTGATAAAACTCAACCTAATCATTTCATTCGTACTTGTTATAAACTTCATGCGTTAGAGAAATTATAAGGATAAATTTAAATACAAAAATTTATATATTTTTTAACAATATATGCAATAATTTATTGAAAAATATTTTAAAAATTCAATAACAAAACTAATTAAATATTTATTTCACACAATAATTATTCAAAAAGAATTTAGATTAACAATTATATTAAAAATAAGTATATATAAATAATTTAGACTGATTTATTTTAAATTAAAAACTCAACCCACGTCATATAATCTATCAAATTCATTTCTCTGAATCTATAATTTTATCAAACTCTTTGTACTAGCTAATGAAATGTAAATATCAAATTAGCACTGTTTATGCAAGGATATGCACAACAGCAGCTCGAACTTGGCCTCCGGACCGATCTGAATACTTGGACGGACCTGCACAAAAAGGTGAGCACTCCGACGATCAGGGTTTGGAATACCCTTCTAGGATACGTGAGCACTACCTCGGATCCCTTCGTAGGGGGTTCGCTATCCCTGAGAACATCCTCCTTAGGATTCCGGAGGAGGGGGAGAGAGCTGACAATCCTCCAAAGGGATGGGTCATTCTCTACTTCAAAATGTTTGAGTACGGCCTCCGGCTTCCCCTTCACCCTTTTGTCCAAGAATTTCTCTTCCGGACTGGGTTGGCTCCGGCTCAAGTGGCCCTCAATGGGTGGGGTGTCATTTTCGCTTTGGCCATCTTTTTTTGGCTACAAGCTCGGGATAGTGAAGAGGCCGAGCTGTTGGACGTAGACCAGCTCCTCGCGTGCTTTGAAGCGAAAAGGATAGCTAAGAAGTCTGGTCGGTTCTATATGTGCGCAAGGAAAGGCGCAGACAGTATAGTTAAGGGGCCGACCTCCATCAAGGGATGGGTGAGGAAGTGGTTCTACGCTTCTGGGAAATGGCTCGCAAAGGACGAGTCAGGTCGTTCCTTCTTTGACGTTCCCACTAGGTTTGGGAACCTAGGTACGGAGTAGTTCTTACTTTTTGTGATCTTCTTTCCTGTCATTCAGGTCTAACTCGGATTTTGTCTTCGCGCAGTTTCAATCCGACCAGTCCCCGAGCTTACGCAAGCCTCCTTCGACACGTTGAAATATTACAAGGAACATTTTCCGAGGGGTAGGAAGGTCGGAACCTTGGTGACCGACAAGCTGCTGCTTGAGTCCGGGCTGCTAGATTACAACCCTGCAGTTCGTCCTATTGAATCCCTAAAGCCGAACTCCGAATTAGGTATGTCGAGCTTGCTGCCCCCTCCCTTTCCTCTAACTTTGTGCTGATTTTTTTTTCTTTGTTTTGCAGCCATGGTTTGCGGGTTCGCGAGTAACGTGAAACGCAAGTCCAAGGGTCGAGCCCATGCTCTTGAGGCCGCCCAGAGTTCGAAACCTGCCACTCCTGCTGTGGTAGGGCCAGCCTCGGAAGATCCAGCCCCAGTGATCGAGCTGGAGTCTTCTGGGGGT